AGTTTAACAATATGATATGTTCTGATCGTTTATTGGCAATTTTTATAATTACAAGCTTTTACTTGGTCGGAATTCTAGTATTTTTTGTGAAAATTGATAGAAGTATTGTGTTTTGACAACTATTTATAGTTAATATACGTCAGAACCGATTACAACTAGGATCTAAAGACTTTAAATTGGTGTTCTTTAGATTTACTATTACGGGTAGTTAAGAGGTTTTGAAAATTATATAAAAAAAAGAGAAGTTTCTTTAAATATTAAAAAAAAAACCTGAAGCAAAAAAAAAATCATCTTGTTTGGAAATAATACGCTGATAAAACCAAGCTAATTCCAAATAAAAGAGTTCAAATTATTTGTAAATTGCCTTAACTACACCGAGTGGACGTTATTATTTCTGGGAAATTTTTCCTACTCACCCCATACTTATTAAGATCCCCCTCTCTCGTTTATTAATTTTTTTTTGTTATATTATATCAATTAAAATATATCAATTTTTTTTGTTATATTATATCAATTAAAATATATCAATTTTGTTAAGATTACCAGGGCCGTCGCGAAGATATTATAAAGGGGGGGGCGTGTCTGTTTTTTACCGACTTAAGCAAAAAAAATTTATGCCCACTAACATGTCTAAAAAAAAAATATTCCTTTTTTCGACATTTGTCAATTGCCAACTATAAATCTTATTTTGCCAATTTGCCAACTAATAAAATTCGTAGGGTGGCTAGACACCCCTTACGCCGCCCCCCCCCCTCCTGCTTAGGACCGCCCTGAAGATTACCATTGAAATGTTTCAATAAGAATGAATTAATGTGGGAAAAAGCATGTTTTGTAGAACATAACAAGTTTTTTTTGTTGAACATATGTTTTTGTAGAACACAAAGTTATATAAGTTACATAAGTTATAAAGTTAGAACATAAATGTCTTATAACAAAGAAATAAATTGAAAAAATAGTATTATAATATATCAATGAGCAATATTTACAATACTTTTGATAAGGCAATTAGACTTATTGGGTGGGTTTACGCCCCTGTTTAAAAATTTTAAGAAATAAAAATTCTTGTAAAAAACAAGCAAAAAACAGAACTTTTTTTTTTTTAAAGTTATTAGAACATCTTGTTACAAAAAAAAAAATTGAAAAAGTATTATCACAATATATCAATAATGAACAATATATGCAAATTTTTTTTTTTAACTTGGCTTATTGTGTGTGTGTTTATGTCTCTGTTTAAAAATTTATTGAAATAAAAAGTTCTTATAAAAACAAAAAACAGAACAATTTTTTTTTTCCAAATAAAACGTATGTTCTTCATGTTGATCGTACAAAAACTCCAAAAAAATTTATTTTATTGTTAAAAATCATGACCAGTCTATTTTTTTTTAAATGTTTTTAAAATTTTTTAATAAAAGTTGTTTCCATTTTACAAATTAGTGACATAAAAACTAATGGACTGTCAACTGAACTAAGAAAGAGTACATCAGCACACTAATGCCATAATTTAACCTTTTAAATAAGCTCAGGACCGTAGGAACAAAAATTAAATTGGGGTGCAGTACTACCCTAAAATAGCTTTAAGGATCTATTTGTTTATTTATTTTTTAGTTTTTTATTCATTCAATTTCTTCAAAATTATTTATTTGAAAAACTAATAAGGAAGGGGGGGGGGCAAATGCCTCTGCTGCCCGCCCTAGTTGTTACGGGCCTGAAGCCAGGATTAAGCCTTTAACATATGGCCTCCAGCCATATGTTAAAGGGCTTAATCTTTTGGTTGCATTAAAACTTTTCCAGTAAACATATAAAATGACCCTGTTTGAAAATAAGATATTGCTTTTATTTCTATTTGATAAATTCCACAATTAGTGGTTGTTTAATTGCAATACTTCATACAATCATTTGGATTGAAAGCTGTCTCAAAATTTGAGTCCTTTATACAGTTGCTATTTGATTTTCTTTTTTCAACAGATGAAAGTAATAAAGCGTTTCTATTGGTAGCTCAAAATTGTCTAACGTTAGGACGGTCATTCCAACCACTTTAGCCTCGAGTAATGGAAAAATATTTTCGATGCAGTCCTGTTTAAAAGATAAGTACAAACAAACAGATAATCTTCAGAAAGTAACTCTCTACTTAAGGTTAGAACACTATTAACTGTGACACTTAAACCTCAACAAAATTTCCATATTTAAAAAATTCCAAGCTTAAGTGTCTATCTGATAGTTTTGGTACTAGACACACAGAATTTATTTAGTCTAAATTGTACAGAGACTGCATGTTTTGCCAAGAAACAATTTTACAATTAATGTCAAAGTCATCTCTAATTCCATCATATAAAACTCATTTTTGCGTGACTCGTAACTCCTTTAAGCAGTAAACATGATAGTAGTTGTTGAAAAGAGAAAGAGATGCAACATTACTACGATGGGAAAGAGGCTCAAAATTAGCAGGTTAAGTGGGTTCAAATTCGTTTACGATGCGTTTTTGGACCTTGCCTATAAGAGAAAGACCCAACAAGCTCAAATATGAAAAAACTATACCATGCAGG